TACTGGAGGCGGGTCAGGGAAAGATAGGGTTGGGGACAGTGTGTCAGGGAATCAGAAAGATTCAGCAGCTCGGCCAGTTTCTGGGTCTGGGTCTGGGTCTGGCTCTCGGGGGGATCTGGGCGAGGCTTGGGCGAGCTGTTTATAGATGGGCCCAGGACACGGGGTGGGTGCCGGGGGACACACCCAGGCGCAGGGGGTCTCTTCTGGCCAGCTCAGCCTGATGGAGAGTCTGTTCGGTGTCTAGCGCTCGGGGGAGGGGGTCTGGCGAGGCTTGTGGGGTGCAGGGTGCGGGTGGTGGTGGGTGCAGGGTCGGGGGAGGTGATGACAGGGTGGTGGCAGGGGGTATTAGGGCCTCATGGGGTGGTTGTCATGGGACACACCCAGGCGCGGGGCATCTCCTCTGGCCGTCTCAGCCTGACGGGGAGTCTGTTTGGTGTCTCCCCCGTCCCAGGACCCCATGGTGACCAGGGCCCTCCAGTGCCTCCGGGAGTCGAGCACCAGTGACCTCTACACGCAGGCGCTGCTGGCCTACGCCTTCGGGCTGGCGGGGAGCACTGAGCTGAGGGACACCCTGCTGCAGCGCCTGGCCCAGCACAGCGTCAGCGCCGGTACCGGCAGCACCTCGCTCTAGTGCTCTCCTCGCTGCCCGCCTCTAGACACAGGGCAGGGCCAGCTGCTCCCCACGGCCCTGCCCACCCAGGTGCCCCCTGCCCCGGGACCTCCTCAGCCTGGCAGGGGAGCTGGGTCTCCGTGGCCCAGTCAGTCCATGGTCTCTGCTGAGGCTGCCAGCGAGGGGCCAACGCGCTGGGCTCTGTCGTGGGGACACTTCTCCCCTCAGAGCTGGAGTGAGATCATCCCGCCACTTCCCAGGGCCCAGCGCACGGAGCGAAGGGGGACGAGGCTGGGTTGCTGCCAGCCTGGGGGGATCGGAGCTGAGAACCTAGAGGGGAAAGCCCCATGTCCCAACACAGCCTTCTAACATGCCCGGGGCCAGGAGCGTGATGGGGTAGTGGGCTCAGAGCCTCTGGGGCAGGGCCTTGTGTAGGCAGCTCCCAAGGGGAACGGGTCGTAACCGAGCCCTGGAGAGATGCCGCAGGATCCCAGCCCCGATCCTGTGTTGGGGACATCCCACCTGGGGAGTGCCTGCCCAAGTCTTCTTGGCTAATACTGGGAGGGGAACAGGCAGCACTGGGCCGGGTGTGAGCGATGCACCCTGGGGCCAGCTCCCCATAGGGCAGGAGGTCCCATGGGAGGTCCTAGGCCCACTGGGAGCGCGGCTGGGGATGCAGGAGGTGGCACTGCCCCACATCGGTGCTGAGCTGAAGGAGCCCTCGGCATGAGGCCAGGGGGCGCTGGGAGTCCCAGGTTGGGTCCCTCACACTCGTCATGAACACGCCCCAGTGATCTCTGTGCGTCTGAGCCGTGCCTGCAGCTGAGGCCTGGTGCACTCGGTTCCTGCCAGGCCCTGGGGAGACGTCCCCCCACAGAGAGGGGCCACCTGCGTAGTCCGGGCAGCTCTGTCATGTCTCAGCTCAGGTGAAAAGTCCCTTCTCTCCAAGCCCGGCGCGGCGGCTGCAGCTGGTCTGTGCCCGCGAGTTGTGTGTGTCACCTCCTGCCCTGCCCCGAGGCGGGAAAAGTGTTGGGTGCAATACCTGGCCCCTGCCCCCGGGAGAGGAGGCTTTGCTCCTGGGGGGCCACACTGGGGTAAAACAGGCCATAGGTTACAGGAACCGTCCTCAAGGACCGAAGACCCCGTGACCCAGTGGAGCTCAGCTTGTAGCTTGGGCAGCAGAGGCTCAGGGGTTTCGAGTCAGACATCCAGGGTTCAGTCCCTGCTGACGACCCACCCAGGGGTGTCGTCTTACACTTGTGTAGCCCTCCAGTGCGCTGTGAATCACCTGCCGTGTCCGGCCCCAGAGGTGGCTGCTTTCAGTGGGGAGCAGGAGTCCCTCTGGCCTGGGAAGCCCTTGGGGCCCCTTTGGAAAGCAAACAGGTGACCCACTGTGTTGTAACTGCAGCCGTGGGGCTGCCCTTCCCTCGGCCCCTCTTGTAGGGGGACAGCTGCACTGGCAGAGGAAGGTGAAGGCCCTGCCCAGCCCCTACGGGAACCAGGCGCCATCAGCGGAGGTGGAGATGACGGCTTACGTGCTCCTGGCCTATCTCTCCCTTCCCAACGTGTCTGCTGCCGACATGGCGACCGCCGCCCAGATCGTCCGCTGGCTCAGCAAGCAGCAGAACCCCTACGGGGGCTTCGCCTCGACGCAGGTAACACCCCTGCCCTCGGGGCAAACCAGCGCTGGGGTCCTGGTGGAGCAAGAGTTCCCCTGGGGCAGCATCTCTGCAGCTGAGCTGGGGCCCTTCCTGGGAGAGGGAGTCCTGGGTGCAGAGTCCCCTGCCCTCAGGGGCTGGGAGCCGGGGTGCCAGTGTCAGTGCTCCGGCGGGTCCTGATCCTGCTGCAGTGAGTCTGAGCCGGGCTCCTCTCCCCAGAGTGTGACAGCAGCTCAGTGACTCTCCTTCCCAGGACACGGTGGTGGCCCTGCAGGCCCTGGCCAAATACGCAGCCCTGACATACAGCACGAGCGGGGCTGTGTCGGTGACAGTGAGCTCCCAGGCC